CTATATATATATATATATATATATATATATATATATATATATATATATATATATATATAGATATATATATCTATATATATATATGTATATATATATATATATATATATATATATATATCTATATATATATATATATATATATATATATATATATATATATATATATATATATATATATATATATATATATATATATATATGTATATATATATATATATATATATATATATATATATATATATATATATATATATATATATATATATATATATATATATATATATATATATATATATATATATATATATATATATATATATATATATATATATATATATATATATATATATATATATATATATATATATATATATATATATATATATATATATATATATATATATATATATATATATATATATATATATATATATATATATATATATATATATATATATATATATATATATATATATATATATATATATATATATATATATATATATATATATATATATATATATATATATATATATATATATATATATATATATATATATATATATATATATATATATATATATATATATATATATATATATATATATATATATATATATATATATATATATATATATATATATATAATAACTGATTTATTTTATCTTTGCCATAATGACAGTAAATAATTTTACTCAATATTTTTCAAGACACTTCTTAAAGTGCTTAAAGGACATTTAAAGGCTTAACTAGGTTAATTATGTTAACTAGGCAGGATAAGGTAATTAGGCAAGTTATTTTATAATGATGGTTTGTTCTGTAGACTATCTTAAAAAAAAAAAAAAGCTTAAAGGGGCTAATAATTTTATCCCTAAAATGTTTTTTTATATTATTATTATTAAAAACTGCTTTTATTCTAGCTGAAATAAAACTTTCTCCAGAAGAAAAATATTATTAAAATTAAAATTTCCCTGCTCTGTTAAACATCATTTGGGAAATATAAAAAAAAGAAAAAAAACTCAAAGGGGGGCTAATAATTGTGACTTCAACAAAAATGTTGCATAAAAACTAGAATCCCAGTCAGTTCATGGTGAATCAAACTTAAAAACGAATTGTATTTGTTTATTTTTAATCTTACATTGTATATTCATGAGGAAAGAATTAAATTCATTCATGTATTCATAACATGCATTCATGTAATTTAAAGAATTAATGTCAGAATTATTGTGATACTTTTAACAACAGAACAGTCACATATGAAAGTGCACCTCTGTGCCAGGATTATGATTCGTTTTGGCCCACTTCCACTGCAGAGGGAATGGGTTTCAGTCATTTCATCATTTAAATCTGCAAATAGCTTGAAAGCTTCGATAGTTTTATCAAAAGCAATAATAAATAATATATATTTTTAGAAGAACTAATAAAGTGAAAAATGCAGAGGGTGAAACATATTTCATATGATTTAAACCTTTACCAAATATAATGAAAAAAAAATTAATATTTTGAATAAAATGCAATATACAGTAGCAGCATTTTCTCCAGGGGCATCAAACTCTTAACCTAAGAATCAAGCCTATGCGTACAATTAAGTCATTGTCTTTTGGCACTTTATGACATTATTTTGCTGTCTATATTTACGCTCGCAGCCTTTGTGTCATTTTCTAAAGTATTCTGTATTAAACACAATAAACAGTATGTGTGCTTAAATGCGAGACAGAAATGAAGGCAGAAAACGTCTAGCTGGAGACAATAGGAGCCCTTGACCACTGTTACATCGGAAACACAACATACAATGACTCCAAGTATTAACTTGAGTCCGATATCTCGCATTACATTGTCTTCTTTCGAAAATACATTCAATAGCTTGACTCTAAGTGAGCAGCAATGCAGTCAGCATCGCTATAAGAATAAAAAGTGCTGTGAATGACATAGACCAAGAGGTGTAATTGTTGCCCGGCGGGGTAGTTTAATGCCGCCGCTGAGATTTCTGTCACCTTGGTTCTACTTTTTGACAAAACGGTGAACAGCGTGTTTCTTCGTCCTGTTTGCCCTAGAACAGGACCAACTGCACTTCCTGCAGGCATGACACCCTGACGCACAGCATCATCATGATTGGGTGCAAGCTCCCATTACCCTTCTGGCAAGAGTGTGAGGGAGGGAAGGAAAGCTTATGTGTGTGTGTTGGTGTATCTGTGCCTGCCCGCAATAAATGAGCAGTGTGCGCCCATCCATAGCGAACCTAATGGAAAAGCAAAGAGCATCATTACCTCAGACGATCTCTGCTGCTCTGCCTCTCCCCCATCACCATTCTTTGAGGAAAAAAAATATGGACTGGACATGTCAAAATCCCTTTTCTGATGGACACGCACCATTTAATGGACTGAAGCTTCCTCAGGTGCAAGCCTGATTCTCTCTTTTGTGTTTGCCAGCCATTTAGCCGCATTATTAACATAATTATCTACAAACAGCATGCACATATTGCTTAATGAATCAAGCTTCCGAATTAAAACTTGCTAAGCTTGGTTCCAGGTGGAAAAATGCTGATAAAACTGCTTGCAGGAGTTTGCATTTTCAACTGACAGGCAAATGACTGCAATAAATAGCTTTGGTAGGCACTTTCAGTGCTGTCCTTATGCATCTTCCTGAATTACCTTGCATTTTTACTAATTCGGCCCCCTTTTTTGTCACTTGTGGTTGCATTGAAATCAAAGACCCAAGACTTCGCAATCCTTAGTTTGTCTGTCTGTTCCAAGGCTTTGGAAATACCTCCACCGCTTCGCTTGCTGTAAGTGAAAGCACAGATGAGAAGGGTTGATAACGCCATCAAAGTCATTATTCCTCCTGCTGCTCCACTGATTTTTCCCCTCCTCTTTTTGCCGCTCACAAAGAAAGGCAGTCTGATAAGTACGAACACTCCTGCGGTAAATGACAGTTGTTTACACGTAGTCGTGCAGACTGTAGACGGCCTTGGCATCTTGATTTCGGGTTCGGGATGGAGAGCGGTACTGCTTTTCCTTCTCCAGGTTTAATCTGTCAGGGACGGACTTCTTCTCTTGCTGAGGTTGTGGCTTCTCCTGGTGTAGCGTTTCTGGACGCGACTCCTCTTGTTCCGGTGTTTCAGTCTGACTCTGCTGTTCGCGGTGCTGCTGTTTCTTTTGGTTGCCGGTCGGCTGCTTCTGGCGCAGCTTCAGCTGTTTTGGCTTCTCCGGGTGGGACGAGCCCGAATCTAATGCACCGCCTCTTCTTCCAGGACATGATAAGCAAAAGATTACGCCTGCGGCTAATAGGAATCCTGCCGATACGAATGCCACGTACACCGCAGCCCCCGGTTCATATTTGCTGCTCTTGGGCACTTTGGAGTCCATAAACGTAGTGATGACTTCATTGGTAAACCAGGATGCGGGCACCAAACATAGGATCCCTGCAATGACGAAGCAAGCCCCTGCGGAAATAGCCGTGTGTCCCTTAGAGCGATAGCTGCCACCCCAGCGAGTGCATTTCAGCCCTAGGGCGGCGAGGCAGAGTCCCATTGTCGCCATCATGCAGGACAGCACCATAGTGGTGCGTGCAGTCTGAAGATAAGCCGGCAACGCCAGCACAGAGTACTTAAGCGAGCAGCTGAAGACTCCGGTGCTGTACCAGGTGCAGTCCATCCACAGCCCCTGCATCTGCGAGATGGCAGTCATGATGTTGGAGCCCACATCGGCACTCACCTTCCAGTTGGGTAGCAGAGTGGCCACCGTGGCACTCACAACCCCAAGCAATGCCAGAATGAAGGCGAACATCTGCATAGTGGAAGACGGCATCATCGGACCCTGAGTTTTCCTTCCCTTCCCCCTGCGGCCGTCCCTCTCACCTTGCGGTGGCCCTGCGTTTGCCTATCAGCCCGGCGCAGGTCCTGACAGCAGATAATTCCTCCGCACTGGCTCCGTTAGACTGCGATAAAAACAGAATGAGAATTGAACTGAGCGAACAAGCGTGACCGTCTGACAGATGAGGCACAGGCTCTGATGAGTGGAATAAGCCGCATTTTTTTTTTCTTTTCTTTTCGTTCCACCCTATCCTTATTTGGGACGTTTATGTTTTAGTACACCCTGAACCAGTCAGCGCTTTGGGGGAAGTGACATTGTAGCTCTGGTGAAAGGCTAATTGTTTTTGGACCTAACCACTGCAGTAAAATGGGACGCAATCACTGTAAGGTAGAAATTTGGCCAATTATCTTGGCCAGGCATGGCTATTTTGTTTAGAGTTAATTGATTTTTTTTCTCTCTTATCTGCGCAGACCATTTGACAGCTTGGAAATTGGAAAGGGAATGAAATTACTCCCATCTTTTGTTGTCATTCAGATGGTGACGAATCTCATGAATTGATCAAGATGAGCATTGTGAGTGCATTCTGTCCTATTTATCTAAGAACAAACAAAACCTTTACTCACCCATTCACTGGTGCGTCAATTCTGAAGAGATCTCCTGCAAGGGAAAAAAACTGAGTATTACCAGGAAAAAGCAGGGAAAACTACTGTAAAACTGCCTCCTTTCTTTTCAAATAACATCTCCTTGGCAACCCAGCATGTCTTAAAGCTTTTTAGTGTCCTATCAAAGAACCCCCACACGTTCCTGTTGTGAGTGACTGGTTCTTCACCGTGTGATCAGTAATCACCGTACCTCTAGACTCCTCACTTGAAGGTCATTAAGTCAAAGAGAGCACAGTATTGTTGTTCAAGAAATGTGTTTTTTAGCTTTAAAAAGCAGACTGTGCAACCTAAAAATCAATTCCTATTACATTCTAGGCATTTATCTATGGCTCCCGTGCAGTAGATTCATGATTTGATTCTCAGCTGATAAGTAGCAAAGGAGGAAATTGCATATGTGTCAGAAGGACAAACTGTTATTCAAGAAACCCACCTGGTATGTGTCTCTCTTTGTGTAATACTGTGGAAATAATGCTTATTGGTAAATAATCTTACTGCTGGATTGTCTTAATGTTATTGGTGCAGTAGGCTGCGCAGCTGGCCATACCTTTTTTTAGGATCTGATGTATTGCCTGTGGGTAAAACATATTACTTTGTTTTCGACAATGAATCAATCATATTACTGCTGACAATTGCAGCAGTGCATTAAAACAGCATGTCAAGAACACAATGAATAATTATTTGGGTTTTTTATTATTGGTTTGGTACATTTTTCACAAGAAATTAGTACATTTTTAATGCTCTTCGTACTTAAGTCACAACATATCAACAAAAGTGCACTTTTTCCAAACATGTCGGTCTATTTTCAATTGTGTAAGTGCAATATAATCGCAAAATATCAAAATTGTTTCAAATAAACTGCCTTTCATAAAGCTGTTGATACCAGACCATTGATTTTCATTTCTTATATCATTCAGTTTAATACATTTGTCTTTCATTTAATTCAACTTATCTTAATGTTTAATCAATAAATCATGAGTCTTTAGATATCTAACTTGTCTGATTGCTACAAGAGCATTCGGTCAAGAAATATTAATTACTATAGTATATGTATTACTATATACTACAATATATATATATATATATATATATATATATAT